ACTGCAGAATGAAACGAGGCGACGTGGAGGAGGACGAGACGCAGACGTGTGAAACCGAGAACGAGCGAGTCTGTGACCGCTGTCAGATTCTGCTCTCTTTGACTAAATATAACGTCTACAGAGCAAGTGGTCACGGCGGCTGGAGCAGATTACGTTAATGTTGTGCAGGAACGTGATGACGGTGCTGCTTTGCAGAAAAAGCTGAAATCAAACTGTGTGAAAGATGGTATCAGGGGATGGTGGAGGAGACCGAGGACAGGATGAAGGTGGAGAACAAGGCTGCAGCTGACAAAAACATTCAGACTCAGTTTGGAGATGCAATCATTCCCATGAAAACGTCCTCTGCCGCTGTCGCTCGCAGCTTTCGACAACTTCAGTCTGAGCAGCTTTTTGTTCATGTAGCACCACGTCACAACATTTATCTCAGGCTGATTTAGATGGTAAGGAAAGGCCCTGCTATACAAGCAGGACTCGATGAGTCTCGGGAAGAAGAACTCCCTTTTAACAGGAAGAAACTTCCAACAGGATGAGGATCGGAGAGGGAATCTGCTGAGAGAATAAAGTTTGTGACAGAGCTAATGCAGCAGCATAAACACACGGTGAGAGCATCACAAACCATCAGCAGCATAACTAAGGGAGGATTCAGGGTCACCTGGTCCAGCCCTAACTATATGCTTTAGCAAAAAGGAAAGTTTGAAGCCTAATCTTGAAAGTAGAGATAGTGTCTGTCTCCTGAATCCAAACTGGAAGCTGGTTCCACAGAAGAGGGGCCTGATTATTTAAGACCTTGTATGTGAGGAGCAGGATTTTGAATTCTGGATTTAACAGGAAGCCAAAACAGGAGAAATATGCTCTCTCTTTCTAGTCCCTGTCAGGACTCTTGCTGCAGCATTTTGGATTAGCTGAAGACTTTTCAGGGAGTTTTTAGGACTTCCTGATAATAAGGAATTACAGTCGTCGAGCCTGGAAGTAATAAAAGTGTGGAGTAGTTTTCCTGCAGCCCATTTTATCTCATTTGCTGCTGAAACTTTAGTCTTTGTTTTTCTTAATCATGGCAGTGATGCAGTCATGCATTTGTGTTTATGTGCAACAAATGTGATCAAATCACCACAAAGAGAAAGACACAGGAAAGCCCGGGGCGGTAGGCTCATCCCTGCACAGCTGTACTCGTTCATTTCTCCTGCTAGAGGAGGTCAGTGGGGCCCAGGGGGTCTCCTCACGGCTTAATTTTGCTTTTTCTGTTAAATGATGACTTTCACGGGGATTAGGGGAGACGCTGTGCAAAAAAGCCCATCCAGGAATAGTCTAACATGAGGGGTAAAATCAGTCATTAACTGTGTCCCGATTAACATTCACCTCAAAGACATTCAGACAGTCCAAACAAAAAGCTGCAGCTTTAAAAATAGAGGCATGTTAATGAAACACTCCAATCCTCTGTGGATGTACCGGGAAGTCTGTCACTGAACCTGACAGGTGCGTTTAAGGCCCGACCAAATCCTGTCAGTTTACACAGATCATCGTCGTCGTCACTGCAGCCTTTCTGTGTGCGGCTCGCTTCAAGCTGCTCATGGCAAAAAAACATCATCTTATCCCAGCAAGGCTAAAATCCAGAATTTCAAACATCACGAGCAACTCTGAGGCCAGATTTACTAATCAGGTGCATTCGCAGGTGATCCACCAGCAGTGCACCAAATTTACACAAAGACACAGCCAGTTTAGTTCAGTAACGGGCAACGCAACCAGGCAACGCAACCAGGCAACTGAGCAACCGAGCACCAAGCAGGTCAAAAATGAGCGATGACAAAAGTGACGCAGTGCATGTGCAGATTCACATCAGCTCTACCATCTAAACCTGAACTCTCAGACGAACAGCTGACGAACAGCTGACCTGAAGGATGCTCAAACATTTCCTGACCGATGCGAGTGTTAGTGAGGTTACTGCTCCCTGCAGCTGCAGGCATTTCTCTAACACAGGTCAGAGCTCCTTAAAACGACATTTCACACTCTGAGCTCTCTGATACTCTTAAATTTAACACTCTGAATTCAAGTTCAATAACACCAGCAGGCCTCCGTCACACAGGCCCAGAGACCTGGTCGCTGACTGGCTGCTGGAAGTTGCTGGAGGTTTACAGTGCTGCAGCTGCAGCAGATTTCCACAGTCGTTGAGTGTCCGCACGAAAGAAGAAAAACATCTCATGTGGAGTCAAACGTTTTCCATTTCTCTGTTTGTAGAGCGGCGATGCAACCCGAAAAACACCAACCAGAGCAAATCTGACTCCAACGTAAAAGCTCTGCTTTACTGCGGCAACCAAAACATGCAACTTTTATTCTGAAGGCGAGTTTGAGCAGCGCTTGGTGAGTGTTTGCAGACGTGTCAGCAATCACAGACATCTGTGGGGCAGCGCCCTCTTTACAGCTGACTTCACTCAGCGATTTCTGGCAAACTGGTTGGAGATGCTCATTTTTCCCTAGCAACCTCAGGTTGCCGGGGGTCACTGATTGGTCCCTGTGTGAGGGGCCAAGACCTTATTACAGTATCTCGTCAACAGCAGCTTCATGAAAACCAGAAAAAGGTCTAAAAGTGATGAACCGTTAGTAAATCTGGCCCTCGTTCCTCATTTTCACTTTTACATCAAGAACAACAAGATTAAATGTGATTAAGGACGATTAGCCTGTCAGACCTTTATCAGCAACATCGTGCATAAAACAGACTTTCAGCCGCTCTCATCAGTGACCTGACATGTCTGCGATGTCTTTGGAAGGTGCTGCCTGTCCCATTTTTTAGCTCAGTGAATGAGAACCACATTCATCATGTAATGATTGAACAGCAGAACCACTGCTGGGATGACTGGCAGCTCCACCTGCCTCCCCGCTGGCTGCACTTCGCTTTGGATTCAGAGGGAAATCTCCTGGATTGCTTTGCTTTTCAGCACAAACAGAGCTGAAGCGGTGACAAACGGCGGCGGGGAGCGAGGAGAAAAACGTCTCCAGCATGTTTATCCTCCTCAGAAAAGCCAAAGATGGCAGGGGGAGGATTACAAAAAAGGAAGTCTGTACTCTGAGCAGAAATAAACCCAGTGTGAGACGAAGACGACCAATCATCTCAGCCGTGGTCTTGCTGTTTATGGCACTTAAAACCGAACTACCTGATGATTAAAAATGTTACACACAAAACCTCTGCATGAGTCTAAGACTGCATTTACAATCAAAATCTGGCTGCATAAATAAAAATCAAACTCAGCCATTATTATACATTTAAACACTCCAGCCCGCTTTCGCTGGCAGGGCGTCAAATAACGGCATCTGTCAAACCGCTGGTGTTAGAGAAACCACAGACTGTATATAAAAGATGGACCCAACCACTGCGCTAACAGTTGGTTTAACAAGCCCCCATGTGGAGCCTCCGATTGAGCATTTTAGCGGAGCCCCAGCTGGGCCTAAAAACTCTTTTCTATTCTACAACCTGAGTTAGCGACTGTTATTGTCATTTTTCACATGTAGCTGAAAAAACAGTGGCTCCATCGTGTTTCCACATTCACCTAACGAATCAAAGCTTCCTGGTTCAGTCGTGGGAGGAGAGACGTATCCCTTTGAGGTTGTGTCAGGAACAGTAAGATTCCCCCAAATCAAACACTCTGAAGTAGCTGTTTATTAAAAGAGCCCCAAACAGTAGAAGAGAGTGTAAATAAATAAATCTTTGTCGTGATTCAGTGATTTCCCAGCACTACATGCTCCCTGCCTGTCTCTGCAGCCTCTGTGTGCCTCTGCACTCCATGCTCCATCTGTGCCACACATTAGCTGTTAATAGCGCTACATTAATTGCACCACCCTCCAGCCTGTGCCAGTTAAAGCCACCGAGGTTAGCAACCCGCGGCTGGGAGCATCGCACAGACACAGATACCTAATGATCAGTGCTAAATAACATAATAAAATCCCAGCAAACTCTCGCTCTGCCTTCATGGACAGTCTGTTAGTAGAGTAACCTCACAGCAGCCATGTTATTGATCGGATGATGTCGTAAAAAAAGCTTCAACAGCACAAAAACAGTCCAGATGTCCAGTTCAGGTGAAGCTAGCAGACAGCTAGCAGCTAGAGCAACCTGTGTCACCATCCACCTGTCAGTCAAAGAGGCCACGCCCCCAATAATATAAACAAGTGAGGTCCTAAACTACTCTCCCCCGGATGTAAACGTGTTTATTTCTGCTGTAAAGTTTTAACGTGGGAGTCTATCACTGCTGGAGCCCCTGCTGGACATTAGAGGAACTGCACATTAAGACTGCACAAGTTTTCCACTTGATTCACTTGATGAAACGTGCCGAGTATCCTGAAACTTTCAGTGTGTCGTGTTGCAAACATATTTTA